GCTCGGGATAAAGACTGCTCCTTCTCGTCGGAATTCGAGTAAAGAATGTTCGATTGAAATTTTTCAGCCGATTTAATTTCCCGTAAATTAGGATCGTTCAACTTCATGAAATGAATAAAAGTAATCAGCGTCGATTCACGCTGCTCCGCGATCAATACATAGGAATTGACAAAAACCGAATCTTATTGTCATCTAAATCGTTTCTACTACTGGTTATCATGCGTCCGGCCACTATTACAATTTGTCCCTGTCACGAGACGCTATCAGGGGTCACGGTACATTATCCCCGTGTTTCCTTATCACTCTGAAAACGACTGTCCTCTTATCGCGGCTTGTCTGGATGTCCGGTATCTCTAGATTTATACATTGTCAAAATTTCTGTTGACCCCCCTGGTTTGATAGTTATAAACGATTCACGAACGACTTCTTTGCGTCTCGAATTTTTCGCGGGGAACAACGAATCGTCGATAAAATACGGTAGAAACGGAAGCGCGAATCGAGACAGTGTCGTTTGTCAAGGGAAAAGGGCAAAAGTTGGTGGGTCTACACGCGTAGAGATATAAAGGAAGATAGCGGTTATGGGGAGTATAAAGAAGAACTACCTCCAATTTCTTTTCCTTCTCAGGGAATAATTTTAGACGTACTACGATGTTGGAGCAATTGAATAAAATCAGAATAATTGTGATTTATTTTCTTTTTCATAATATTATGGAATATTCGATGTTGTCTCGGGTGCACGAGAAAATAATTTTAAACGGTACACAGCGGGCTGAGTGACTCCTCGAATTTAATTGAGAGCACCGAAGAAATTCGTTTGGCCAATTAATTTTAATTCACCCGAAATTCAACTAATTCCTTTTTTGTGAGAGGCGTTCAAAACTGGATCCTATTATTACATGCACGGGCTAATGTATTTCCAGTTACGAGGAGTACGAAATAAAAGCAATCATATAATTCCGTTTCCACCCTCTTTCTTTCTCCCAGCGTGAAACGCGTTTTCTCGTATTATTGCACCATTTTTTAATCCTCATTAACCCGTCTCCTCTCACTTGTGCCCTTTCCAATTGCAATTTGCGAGACTCCATTTTTGCCAGTCCAAGTTCAACATTCTTTTTTAACGAAGTGGAGTAAGGAATATTCATTGCCTGTTTGGAATCGACTCGAGCAAAATAGGTTTGTTCTCGGAGAATCAAAACGCTGTTGTGTATCAGACCGAATGTTTGATTAGGATATTACAAAATATGAGAAATGAAAGATCCATACAGCACTCGGACGAGAATCATTCCGCAGAGTGCTTCTCAGTTTACGACGTGGCGGGGAGTCATATGGTCAACATTATGGAGAGGAAGATTAGTTTAGTCTATGGATGTGCATCTCTCGTGGATAAAAGGAAGCGGAAACTCGATGGAAGCGAATAAACGAGAGCTTAACTCGGAGTTTGTCATGTGGAAGGTGAACGCTGCGATACGAATCGTAATTCATTGTGAAGTCGTGAATGGTGCTTGACTACGTTCAAACGTTCGGCATTCATCAGAACATGGCATTACGGTTGGAGAGGCATATGTTTGATTAAAAATGAAATAAACGATGCGTTTGTAACTCGGAGAATTTACGATCGTTCGAAATAAGTAAGGAAAAAATTATTTTGAAAGTTCAGCTGGCAACGAGGTGTTTAGCAGTAAAGGAAGAAAAAGTGACGTGTATTTTTTGATAACGAATGATTTACGCGCGTTGATATATCGTTCGCGGAAAGAAAGGGGGAAAAAAGAGCAATCTCGTGGTGAAAGCTTCGCGTTCACGATTCGGGGCAGCGATCGTGAAATGTTTTTTCCGGCACGTTCGCGTGACGGATACCCTAACCGCGAATTACCATTTCGCGCGTTAGTCGCGAGAAAACGCTGGCTCGAGATCGATCGTGGAAATGTGTGGCGGTAAGTCGAAACTCCGAGCCGAAGATCTCGAACGTCGCGTGACTCGGTGCCGGCCATAAATTATCACTGTTTAGCACCTTTTACCCTCCATTCGGGCTTCCTTCGCAGAGACTCGAAAAGTCACACTTGAAGATTTTCTTATTCGATACTTTTATTGCATACAGTTTCATACATTTTATTTAGTATTAAATTACACAGCGATCGTTTGTTTTTAATTGGTCACAACTAAAAAAATATGAAAACTGTATCCATTTCTCGTAAGAATTTTTTTCGAAATAACTGACTAGATGCTAACGAGTACACTAGAGCTATAAATAGAATTACTTTCAAATCAAACTCTAAATTGGAATCTGGCATCCTGAAGCCTCTTATTCACCAGTTCACTACCATAATCTCCTCGCCTTACCAATCATCTTTGGTAGCGCTAATCATGCAAATCACAGAGCTGCCGAACGCGTCTTCCTTCTAATTCGATACCGCTTGCAATTTCATTCTATTCCATCCATAATCGTAGGTCTCTATTTGTAATACGCGCGTCCGTATTCATTTGAGCAGGAGACGACGTCTTTCAAGACGGAACAACTACAGTAAATGCAGACAAACGCAAGTGCGACCGTGTCGCACGAAATTCCCAATTGCGAAAGATGGGTTGACCAAGTTTCGTAAACCTGTCTTCGGATTCGTTCGTGAAATATCGATGCTGACGCTCGCTTCTTTCATTCGATTCCTTTATTCCATTCCGCTTTAGCTTCTTTAGAATAAAACATTGAACCTCGATTTCCTATCTCATTATACGATTTGGCTAAAGTTCTAACATTTTATTGTGCCACTGTGTACCACGTCGATTCTGTTCGTTATAAAAAAAAGCCGTCGATTGATTACAATGGTTACATAAAGCCTGTTGAGACCAAATTGATGACGGTTATCGACAGCGGCCATTACCTTAGCAAATTCCCATGATCCGTGATTACCCCGCAATCTCTTCAAAATAATATCGATCGCCTCTTACGACACGATACGCCTACGTACCGGTTACACGCCGATAAGTAGTTACGGTCAACGATGTACGGTACGGTTTCTCGATAAGCAAACTGGGAAACTGATTGTGGAACACGTAATAGACGAACGGCCGAGTGTGGTTCGCCCGAATCGCGCCGAAAACGGCTTTGTGCGGTGTTTACGAGATGGGTTTTCGTGTTTCGGTAGGCAGTTCCGTTGCCTGAAGGGTCGTCGAGAGAAACGCACGAGCGGTGATAAAGAACGCGCAAAGGAAATGCGATAAGCCCGAACGCGATAATACGTTTAGATATAAACGTAGTCATGCAAATTTTTTAATCCACTTTTTTACGTACGTCGATAGAATTGATTGTGAAAATAAAATCAAGAGTTAAAACGACTCTGAACAGAATTCGATTGGAGAGAAATTGTCGATTAGGATGTTGATTCCGGAACACCATTGTTATCGACGATTCCTTCGTGATTCGAATACGAAATCCGAATTATATCGAGTTTCTCGTGTGTCAATTTGTGGCTCAAACGGAAAGCTGAGTGAACGACGATTTTAAAAAGAAACGAGCAAATAACATTGACGAACATACAAAGAGTGCACAATAATTACGTGCATTGTTATATTTCGCCAAGGAAATTCGTGTACCAGTGTAACGTGATGAGAACGATTAATCCAACACGTTTTTGAATGCCAAGTTCGTCGTAAGCACAAAGCAAGCTCAAGATTAAAGCGAATACCTCGGCGTGAGTAAAAAAAAAAAATTCTTTTCATGAAATTTAATATTCTCGTGATATGAATTTTCTCGTAAGTCTCTAAGAGTTACTATTATTATTTTTTTTAAAGAACAGCCCCTTGACAATTTAATCTCGAAATTATCAAGGAATAGTAGCAGTGTGTATGTGCACACAGACATCGTCCAACTTCCTTAATCTCCATCAGAGAAAACTTTCCTATAAACGAACGCAAATTTATATCGGTCGTAGGCAAATTCAACGACGAAACCCCCCTGAGATCCCTGTTCGATCCTAATCGGCTTTGAGCGCCGAGACAACACCCTTCATTTTCGAAGAAGGGAAAGATCGAGGGGAAAAGACCTCATTAATGTTCCAAGACAGGATTCCTCCATCATTCCTTTTAATTCCAATAATCGAGATATCCCGCCACGTGAACGATGAACATAAGGACAGCTCGAATCGTTTTTGTTTCAGTACTTAATTATTATAAATCGATACATAGTAAACGTTCAACTTGGTACGAAAAATGTTTGCTACTAATAAATATTTTGCAAAATCAAAAAACAGCAAACTGTTTATGCTAACTAAAGAATCTTAGATTTCTTTTGTACATCACTGTGTCATCACCCCCAACGCAACGTCGATAGATACCACACCCTTTAGCCTTGCGATCTTCGGTTCGTCGGCCTCGTTGGAAAATGTGCTGCGGCACGATGGGGGGAAAGAAAGCGTGAACAACTTTACGGAGAGGGCATTTATTAGCCCATTAAACTCGGCGGTATTCAAGCTCTCAGTAGCCACTTAGAGCGATAACCAAAATTAGCCGGCACGCAGATGTGTTTACACGCGGAAGCCCGTGGGTGGGGCGATGGAGGGGCGAGTTTTTCATACAGAGAGGGAGGAAACGTGCGTGGAAGCGAGAGGGAACGTGTGAAGCACTAGCTATCCGTGAGATAAGGGAATTAGAGAAAGTTAGATACAATTAAATAGAGAAACACGGGAGAAAGGACTTGAAGCGATAAACAGAGGAAAGTAGAAAAAGACAAACAAGAGGGAAGACGCGTGGCGAGAGAGGGTGGACATGGAGAAGAGAGACGAAGAAGTGAGAACGTGTAAGTGGTGTACGAGTAAAGAGAGGGCACGAATACAAGGAGAGGGGAAGCAAAGTCGGCGAGGCCGCCGCCGCCGCCGCGCAAGAGGCAAAGCGATACCACGGGGAGTGGGTGCGCGAGGGTGGTTTGGCTCGGTAGGCGGTGGCGAGGATCAGGGGCGTGCGGAAGGGAAGGGAAAGGAGGAATAAATGGGAACCGACGCAGTCCTGTCGGGAGCGTCACAGCGGGCGGACGCTCACCACCGACGCTTCTCTCGTTCGCCTCGCACTCGCCTCGCTCATTCTCTCTCTCCCTCCCTCCCTATCTCCCTCTCGCGTCGCGTTCGGTTCGTTCTCTTTGGCCAGCATCTCCAGTGTCATTTCGACGTCCAGCAACGGCGTGAGTCGCCAGACGAATCACGTCGCACAGCCTCGCCTCACCCTTGCTCGAATATACGCGCGTGAGATCCGCTCCGCCTGTTAAAGGCGCATCCTTCGTCGTTCTAGCCGGCTACGTGCAAGGCCCTTTCTTCTGTTTTGTTTTTTCATCCGTTGCGTTCCTCGTTCCATCGTTCGTTCCTCTCCCCGACCGAATCCACCCCGAATTCTTTTTCACCCTCGTTCGCGTACGTTCCGTTTTCGTTTACGATTCATCGTGATTCCATGCGAATGAGAAGAAATGCGCGCACGGAACCGTTTCCCGTGGCCGTGCGGTTATCCACGGTGGTCGTATGTGGTAGTGAATTTGTGACGAACGATCATCATCTGTGAAAGGAATATTATCGCTGCCGGATGAAGAGGCCAGGACCGCGAATGTTCGAACACTGGAGATCAACCGGTGATCGCGGCGATGAGAAACCCGTCGCGTTACGCACACCTCGTGGTTCCGTTCTCCCCTCGACGAAGCGCGAACTGTCGCGATTACCACACGCGCTCACCCTATGAAAAGTGAAGTCGATGGTGAAAAAATTCTCGTTCTCGGCGAGAAACCGAACGCCCCCGATCCTAATACCGTCGCGTCGATCACTGCCTTTCGAGGTTAGATAATGGATTTCGGATATCCTCTCTTCGCTTGCCTTGAAATCATCTGCGATATTTTTACGAGCATTTTTATATTTTGTTTCGTAAAACCGCTAATGGCATCTTCTATCTCCGATGCAACGTGTCCCAGCACTATAAATATTAAGTTTTAAACGAATCTAAATTTTCGATGATGCCACTGAGAGGATTTCAAGGTAATTTTCGTGTGATATCGCCGATCGACTCGATATCGGGAAACGAGGGAACGGTGGAAAAAGGGAAAACCCGCGTCTCCCATGAGAAGCGGAGTCTCGAGAACCCGTTGGAAAGTGGTACGACTGTGATTGAGTTTGGGAAACAGTGCAACGTTGTTCGATTCGATCTGCCGGATCGAGATATTCGATCCCGATGATATTCCTCCAACTCGTGGCTCCAGGACTATTTCAAGTAACAAGTAGAGAAGAGTTATGACATGTCTGTCGTTGAGGTTGCGAAGGTAACGGTCGGAGTGGGATGAATCAGAAATTCATTGTTGATCCTGAGTAAAATTTTGTTTGTTCCGTTCATGGCTGCTGCGTTTGAATCGACAATGTTGCAACGTTAAACGGAATTTCCACTTTGGCCCTCAGGGCGTTAGTTAATAAAATTGGCCGATTTTGTGGTGGCTATCTATTTTGGGAATGAATTGTCCCGCGGCACAGCAAAACCGCGAGTCGATTAATAATTCAGAGAGCTGGCAGTCTCTCCGCTGGCGAGTGGAAGCGGTTAAAAGTTTAAAGTTTAATCGAAGAAATCGGTGATCAAAGAGGACACGATTCTTTAATTCCCTTCCAGCGGGACCTTGAAATGACACGATCCCTGGATCCATTGATATTAATAAACCGGACAAGGAAGAGTCTTATTCGTGGAGGCGGGCGAGGAAAGTCAAGATCACTCGTCGTTTGAATAATCGATGGCAGATGGGATAAGTCACGCTAAATAAATAACTGTTTTCAATTAGCTAACATTTCACTGTCACCCTTCAATAATATCGGTTTATAGATATCCGTCCTCGCGTAGTTTCCGATCGAAAAATTTCATATACTGCTCGCCGTTCAATTACTCTGTAATGTCACAATCGAATGAATCTCATGTATTCCGATCTTCTTTTAATCCACGATTATTAACATTTTCGTAAATTAAACTCTTTCTATCGTACATTTTGTAGTTTTCCTATTTCAAGGATGAAGGATAGAGGAACTCCTGTTGGAGGTGATATTCTAATGCACTTCGATATCTTTCTCTCCAGTGAACTACATTTTAGACAAACTCAGTTTCCCTCTGAAGTACCGTTTACTTCATCCTCAGTGTCACGACAAGTCTGCTTGGCTATAAGCTACCTCGAGGAACGGCCAAGATTTTGCTCCGACAAATTCGTGACGAGTAACAAAACTCCTGCGAGACAAGTACTGAAACCCTGCAGCTTCCTAAAATTAAAATACGGAAGTTTTCAACTTTATTGAATTTAAACGTCGTTTAATAAAATTATAGTCGAGGCAATTGAATTTAGATCAAAATTTCTTAAAACGTTTTCTATTGAAATTCGATGTATCAGAAATATGTAGTACGCTAGTGATCAAGTTTAATATTATTCCGGCTAGGCCGGAAAAATACCAGTCGCTCGATGTCCGCCATTCGGCGGCACACGGTTCAATTGATTTAAAGCGCAATCAAGGTCGGTCGTCCGTTTAAATTCAGCCTCCGAACGTCGTCGTCCTGTCGACCACTTAAAATAAAGCTCCGAGGAATCACGATTCAAACGCGGAGATCAACACGCGCCGCGACGTATCGTTACGAAAATTAATCGATCGGATCTGTGCTCAGTCGACGAGCCCGACGTTCCTCTTGATACACGAATAATCATTTTGTCAGTAACAAATATTTATGTACGCGTAGTGTCATCAACTTGACGAAATCCGGTCACTTACGTTATAAACGTTTCATTTCCTGCTTGCGCGAAATTGTACCGTGAAAAATCCAAGGAAATCCAGAGGCTACGTTGCCTGCGAGGGACAATTTAATTTGCTCAGCCGGAGCAGAGCGAAGTAGGCGAGCTAGACGAAAAAAATTTCTCTCACGACACACTGCGATGTGCCGCATATTATACACAGATGAAAATGTAGAGAAAGGGAGAGTGCACTCTCTCGTTGAACTCTGACTTTTTCCAACGAGTGCTTTCGTTTGTTTCCCGCCGCCGCTGCAGCCGGCGACGTTCGATGAACAAGCAAACTTAAACTCTGCCTCCTTAAAATGCCTGCGATGCGCTCGCCTCGGAAAATACTAAAGTAACTCTCTCTGACACGTATATCGGTAATTCCTCGTCTCCGTTCAGGGTTAAAAGCTTCTTTCAATGGTACTTACACACCGCGAGACGCGAAATCGATAGACTTCGTTATATTGTCGTTTTATTTTCCCGAACACGGGACGGGACCAAAAGACAACGGCATTTAGCTAACGAATGAAAAGCGATTGGGCTATAAAAATCGACGACAAGTAGAAGAAGCGGATCGAAGGGGTTGTCAGTGAAAATTTGTGCGGCTGATAAAATATTCAAACGGACGTTTTTTTTCTACGTAGGTACCTTCACCTTTGCGTACGAGGAATTGATTGTTCCAAGTGTCATCCATTATTCCACGCTGAGATTTCGCCGCCGCACAGTTGAAATATTATTTCACGGTGAAAAACGCTCGGGATAATTTAATCGAGCCCGGATAGGAAAAAACAGTGTGAGAAACGGAGAGACGAAGCTCGATAGAAGATCGGTTCGACGAAAAATTTATCGCTCTCTACTTTTTTCCCGTTTTCATCGATACGTTTCCTGGCGTGATTTACGATTAAATTCCCGGTACACTTAGTGAATTCGGTTACCGAGTGCCGCTCTGTTAATTAAACTTGATAAGATTAAATTGACTAGAAAATTACATAGACACCTGATATGTAAAATATATACTTTTGCGATTCGTTTGCGCGGCACGTTTCCCTCGTCCTAATTCAATGGATTCTAAAAACAGACACTCTCTATGGGAAAACCTGAATGAATACGAGAATAATGGAAGATGATTAGACGAGTTTTTTTATTCTAGTGTTCGAGTGACTTATGGCTATTTAAAATAAATGATTCCGTACGAATCTAAAGAATGTCAGGGTGACCTGATTAAGGTATAGTATAAAATTATGGTAACCTGCCTTTATGTATACGTGTAAGAATCAAGACCGAGCTCACAACCCTGGCACTCTTAAATTTTTTACACCGCGGGTATAGTTTTAAGACCGTGGCCCTCAACTCGTTGTTTAAACGTATTTACTCTTTTCCTTGTCGTGCACAATTGTCGGCCGAACCTTTTGTCAACGTTTGCCCTTATGTTTCGCTTAAATGAAACTTTTTCGCGTAAGCCGTTTCCGTTTGAGTTTTTCGTTCGGAATTCGCTCGCTTTGAAACAAGCGAACGTTGCACGGTTTTTCGTTCGCGAAAATAGGAAAAAAGAAAAATATTTACCGAACGCGGGATTGGCGGAGTTACATTTTCGGGGAGTGCGCGCGCGGGACGAAAGAGGCAACGCCGTGAAAAAGATTATAATTCCAGATGCGCAAACAACGATTCCGAACGATGTAAATGTTTCATCGAACGTGACTGCACATTTTAAAAGCGGCTTCCTTTTAATCCGTGGGATCTTCTGACCAAAGCGCGTGGCACGTTGCAAATGTGTTTACGCGCGATAAAAGCGGATCTTCGATTCGCACGAAAAAAGAACAGACACGATGGGAGGCAATTTGTATCCGGATTACGCAATTCTCTGTTCGTCCACGATGGAGGATGTACAGGAAACGGTCGCATCGAAAGCGAAACTTTGTCCTTACAAACTTTGTCCTCGCGAGGGGAAGTGCGAACAACAATTCGAAAATTCTTATTTTCCATAGCAATCAGGCAAATTAAATTGAGAAAGACACATTGCAAAAAAGAAAAAATTGGTGCAGACGCATTGTCCACTTTGTCTCGTGTTATCAAAGGGTTACGCCGTTACGTCTCTTTTACGGTTCTCCTTTATTTCCTACCGTTTGTATTTTACGCTTTTTGTATGGCGAAAGGCGGCAAAGTTTTTACTTGCTCTTCACCAGCGGACGAAGGTCTCGTTGAATAAGTTCTTTGAAGCAAGTGGTTAGAAATTTTTTCACCGTTATTGCGATTACCATAGGAATCTTTTTAAATATAGCAAAGATTAGCAAGTTTTTATGTAAATCTAATTATCCGATTTAGTCGTGGTTTTTGATGATACAATTAATTAATTAATTCCTTTGGCACTCGGTTAGATGATTCTCGTGAACGTAAAATTGTCCACTGTTGCATCGAACAACGTCAGGTTTCGCACTGACTCGAGCACATGCTATACCACTCGATTGATCTTCGACGTACTTTCACCGTTCCCGCGAAAACGAGAGGCAAGGAGATCAGTAGTCGACTGCCTAAACTCGAGAATTGCGTTAACCGCGGACACGTCTCGAAACGATTTCAGAAAGGGGCGAACAACCCGAAGAGGAAGAGACGCGAGTGTTTCGTTCCGCGAGTGAAATCTTCGCGTGGCAGAAAGGCGCGGACGTGTTGTCGTGCGCCGAGCACCGCGCGAATCGATAAAATTGTAAAATATTTACAAGGACGAGCAGTAACCACACGGGTTCGAGGCGAATCGAAGAAGCGTAGACGAGCTGGCATTGAAACCTGATAAAACCGAACGGGGAAGAAAAACGAAGGAGAACGCGAATCGATCCGCGGTGCCACGTTGGAACGGATTTCGCGAGGTTTTAGTTTTCGCAACTTTACACGCGTCCTAGAGAAAGGGAAGAATCGCAAATCGAGATCTCTCAGCAACAACACAGGTGATCCTGATTGGAAACCGTAAACGGTGAACGTCGAGATTCCCGTGAGATTAAACGGGTTCGGGACGTGGACATGGTCTGATCGGGTCTTCGTCTACGCTAGTCCCTCCGTTCGATCGAACGCGATGAACGGTAAAAACGCAACATTAAACATGAGCGAACCGTCATTGGTGAACTCTGACAGACGATTACACGCCGCGATGGAGCGCGGTACGTTCGTTAGTGAAGTGTATCCCAGCGATGAACAAACAGAGTTTATAACGCGTAACAGTGCCACCGATATCCCGGCCTCAGTGGACCTGACTTGAGGAGAAACGGACGTAAATGTCACTGAGAAGGTTCGTATCGATGTCAATTTACTAATAGGCGCTCATAAAAAAGTGTCACATGCTCATATAATTCTGTGCATATTTTTAAAGTACGGTCAATCTTACATATTATTGACGGCAGTGGCAAATATAATTTTTGAATTCCTTTGAGAGATATTTCCAAGATAAATATAGGTCAGAATAACGGGAGGCGAAACGAGAGCGCCAAGGGCTTGATTTGTGGCTTCTGTTTGCTTATACATGTAGAAGATTTGGCTTCTAGACTACAAATGGAATCAAACCGCTAATATTTTGCATATATTCATGTAGGAGTAAGATGTACGATTCCCTTAATTTTTACGGAGACGCGACGTATCCTTCGTAGGGTTTCTAGTGAAGCATTTAGAAAAATCAAATTCTCGAAATGATACGTGAATTATGTTCTTTGAAATCTCGAAATGTAGGTGACTAGAATAGATATACGTAGGTGTAAATAACTTTTCTTATACTCTTGATATTTCTTTCCCATAGAAGTTCAATTCTTAATATAGAAAATAATTGAAGTTTACTTTAGCTGACTCAGTTTAAGACTATCGACCTCGTATTGTTTTGAATGTTTCGCCAGGCTATAAATTAGTATAATGATAATGCTCCGAATATTTCAATATAAATTCAATATTCTACACCGATCAAAAAGCATTAAAATCCTGATTTATCGTTCGAACCGTATTTTACATACATTCCCGTACAAAACTATAATTTGTGTTCGCTATAAATCCGCGATAAAAATGTTATGCTCTATAAATTTCCTCAATATCAATAGTGGCCACGATCAAAAGCGAATTGGGGTAAAAAGAACCGATTAAAAGATGAGAAAAAAAGATTGTCCGCGATCAATCAAGTCTGCCAATCGAATAATATTTGGCACGCTCGTTCGATTCGGTTGATCCGGTAATAATCAACCGGATCATCTGAAATTTCCTTCACGTTTGCGACGACCACGGTCCGCAGAGAAACGTCGATGAAGTTGGCCCGTGAACGCCGCCACCGTGGAAGAGGGATAGTCTCGCAGTGCCAAACCTTTTCGGTAATTTGCCTCGGCGTATCCTGGCCCTGAAATAATCGAGTCCAGGCACGTTTCGAGCTGGAGTCCCGATCCGGAAACGCGGGCGCGAGCGAGTCTCTCGTGCAGCAGCCGGACCAACTAGGACGGTTTCATCATTGCGCTGCGACACCGGCGTTTCTCGAGTGATGCGAATCGGGTCGCCGAAACAATGTCTCCACGGTTATCGACAAGCATCTCGCTGACGATAGTTAGGGAAGAACTTCGCCAGACTCTAGCCTTCCCTTCTTCACCCCACGGCGACGCTGCCGGAGGAAGTTCGACCGGATCCACGTCTCGTCAATCCACTTTATTACCTTCGATTTAAGGATTTTCCATGGATATCACGTGTCTCTGGCGTTATCTCTGTCCACGGTACTTTACTTTCTTTTATTCTTCATAAAATTATATTGTTATTCCAAACGGGTCTTGCTTACCATTTCAAATTTTACGTTCCGCGTCAACGAAATCCTTCATAAACTCAGGTCACGTCACCGAATATTTCCTCCTTGCGTCTTCGAAAACAGTGCTTTGAGTATTTTAAAGAATTAAAGAGGAAACTATTCGCGAAGTTCTTTATGAGCAAACTTTCGCTCCGATCAAGGCACACATCCTGCGATTCTCAAAATTCTCTTAATACAATTTAAATGCAGAAATTTACACACGAATTCCCGGAAAATCCCAGAGTTTCCCTCTTCTTAGAGTCAAAGTGCTATTTCCTGGGACCTCTTTTCAAGATGTCTAGACGGATTTGTAGTTTGGAATAAGTCTGTAACTGGATCGAAATGTGAGAGAGACAGCGATGGTGGCGACAAAAAAATGATGCTCTTTAGAAGCCAGTATCTTTGAATCTTAAATAAAAATGAATAATATTTTGTGAAATTCTTCTATCACAAAATAATATTCACGAGTGGAAAATCATTTCGTATAAACAAATGAACAAGTCATAAATGAAAATACTTCTCACTTGCTCGATCTCTACGTTAAAAGAGAGGTAGGAAAATTACCCTTGACGGTACGAAGTGCAATTAGGAGTGTCACTCTTCAGCCGGAAAGTCCAAGAGTGCGAGACGAATCGAGGAGATCCATCGAGCATAATTCGTTACGAACACGCGACGAGAGCCACTCGTCGGTGCAACGGCTTTTCACAGATATACGGAAGGTGAAGAGTGGTAGAAACAGCGGGATGAATCTGCGACCAGCGATCTCTGTAATCCGGATAGGGTATACGTTCCATGAGGGATGAAAGAAGCACAGGCAACGAGAGATGTAGAAATGAGAAAAAGAAAAGGAATGACAAACGAATCAATCTGCTCGAAACTTCGCCATTTCCAGACGAAACTTGTTTGATCCTACAGACAGCGATTTTGCATTAATTATTATCTCTGTAGAGAAATTTGAAAAATAGTATCCGGTTGTATAAATCGGTGGCGCGCATAGACAGAACAAGCAGGCCTTCTTTCTTTTCCCTTGCCAGAGGTTGCTTTCGAGGCTAACGGATTTCATTCGTATGCAGATTAGAGGCCTCGCGCGGTGGGACTCGCACAATATGCAAGGCACAATGGCCTTTGCCGATTGTACGCCGGCAACCAGCTCGGCTGGAAAAAGTCGCCGCGCCGCAGGGCGGCGTTATGCCGGAAAAACCGCTACCCGAATAGGAGGTAATTCCTATTTCGGGCGGTGTGCGCGAGGAAAAGAGTTTCTGCGCCCACGAAACGCGAAATACGGAACGAGATTTCGTGGATTATCTCGTTTTTCGAGTTCAACGCTGTTTGTCGACGCGCCGCCGAGCAGAGCCGGGACGAAATCGGGAAACTTCGGCAACCAGTTTTGCTTGCCCTATAGCCTTGTTAATTGCGATTGACACGACGATTACGTCGACGTTAAAGTTCTCATTCATTCGCCGGTGGTATGTGAAACAATATAATAAGATTTCTTAGTTGCAACTTTTTGGAATAGCTCGTTACAGCAAGTTATCCCCGAAGTTGCTGTCAGTAGAACTTATTCGGCACCAACTTTCGAGACCCATTCGATATCGTCTCTTAATCGACACTCGCTTGTTTCTCAACACGTCTCAAAGTTACTTTTCTTTATACGTGTTCTTCGATTATACGAATCGCCAGAAAGAATTTTCTTATTCTACTCTATTGTTTGAATAAATATCTCGCCATTAGAAATAGAGATCCCAAACAAAAAATCGAATGCTCTATTCATTTAATCGTGGGAAACTTTAATGATATGCATTGCCCTGAGTATGAGTCCCTCGGGCTATGTTGAATTTAATTGACCGCGGCTAGTTATTAAGACGATTTTCCGTGTACGCGGATTACCTCGTCGCTGAATAAACTTAATTAACTCGCGGGCGACCACCAGCGATTAGCTTGCCTCTCGAAGCCGCTGTCGAATCAAGGAATTTTCATTAAAAAGAGACAACAGAGGAAACGGGCGTAGACCTTAACTAGTCAGAGCTGAACGCTATCGTTAGACACTGGAAGCGAATTGCTTGAAAAAAGTGTAAGACACGTTTCTCCGTATTTTTAATCTTATTCAGAGGTCCGTCGATGCTTTTATCTGAGTTTTCGAGAAAACGTCTTGAAACCGGTCGTATCTCGTCCCGACGGGGAAAGAAGCAACGGTATAAATTATTCAACGAAGATTCTTATCGTCGTCCACTTAAGAACGCATTATGCCACGTCATATTCAGTCCGTGGTAGAAGAAAAACGGACCATTAGGAGCGTGAATCGTGGAAAATGTCTGCGTTGAGAAACGGCGTCCTTATTCATCGCCACCGATTTTTTTCTCGATCGGATGGTAACAATAACGTTCCCGCGTCTAACTAAAGAGCAACATTAAAAGGCGAATGAGAAATAAAAAATGGAAGACAATCCATCTCACTCTCATCCAATAAAACGAGCGCCTCGTCTCCTGTTTCTAAAAAAGGATTTAAAAGCTTTTAAGTAACGGATTCCCAGGCCAAAACGAAGTGTCCATAAACCGCAAACGGAAAGAAGCATTTCGCGAAACGCGAATGTGATTCGCGGTTGCGGCCGCGGTTTTCCGCGGTTCCAACCGCAGTCTTCCGGGCAGCGACGAGAACACATCGAATCGCGAGCTTCCGTAAGAAGGACTGCCGGCATAGCTGATAAAGCTGGCTCAATGATTGCTTCGTGCTAAGCAACGAAATCCAGCGGTGATTTCGCATCGGTGACCCAAATTACAAAACGGAGAAGGGAAAAAGGAAAATGTGACTCAGCTCGGTTCCTTCATTTCGATTTCTGTTTTCTATTGGTGTTCGTTTTTCATGAAGTTTTTGGCTTACTTAGACCACTTTGCTTCCACAGTAGTATAACTCCGTAATAAGTCAAACGTATGATTATATTTGATTAAATTTAAACATTTAGCAAAATATATGAAATTGTTTACAGAGTCCATGGTATGAAATAATATAATTCGATGAAAGTACAAAATGAATAAACATAAATAGCATTATGGTATCAAAATTCGCTCGATTTTTCGTCACGGGACATATTATATTTACTCGTTAGGTATAGATATTAATTCTGTTCCAATTACGTATTTTAATTAATTAAATTTTCGTTTGCAGTTCGTATCTGCCGGAAAATCTCTTTCTCCTTCGTTCATTGTTATAATTACTTTTTAATTGCCGCCGGGTAGTTTGAATAAAAAATATGTGTTTATCGTAACGAGCGTTAATGGTCGGTGGGAAACAAGGACGCTCCGTTTTCACATTGGTAACGGCAAATTACTCGGATCTATTGGTCGTCGATTTTCCACTTACGGAAGTATTTAGGTTAAACTGAGGGTAATTTAAACGTCGCGTGGCTAATTGAAAGCGATAGACTGAGTGAAAATACGAGCAAAAAGCAGCGCATTTTCCGGTTGAGAAATCGAAACCTCCAATCGAGA